TGCCAATAACAAACTGAGGTACTCATTCTGCAGGCCATAAGGAACTAAATGCTGCCAACAGCCACATGAGCTAGGAAGCAGATCCTTCCCCAGTCAAGACCCAGATGAGATCACAGCCCCAGCAGACACCTTGATTTCTCGCCTTGTCAGACTCAGCTAAACTGTGTCCTTACTCACAGAAACTGAAACAAAAAAATGTGTGCTCTTTTTGGTAATTTGTGTAAACGTGTTGTAATACTGTTATGCAGCAATATATAATTAACAGAATCCAAATGTCCATAAACTGGTGAACAGATCAACAAATTGTGGTATATCTATACAAGAGAATATTACACACCAATAGAAAGCAATGAATTACTGATACAACAATGTAAGTTTCACAAACACTACTCTGAGCAAAAGAAGTGAGACACAAAGGAATACATACATTATGAATTCATTCATATTTAATTCTAGAGAAGACAAATATAATCAATAGCAACAGAAAGCAGTTCAGATTTCCTGAGGCCAAAGGCTAGGATTTACTGGGATAGGCATAAGGGAACACTTAGGAAAACTGAAATCGTTTTGATCTTGGTTGTGGTGGTGGTTACACAGGTATGTACATTTGTCAAAACTCATTAAACTGACCACAACACACCTATTAGAATTCCACAGGAAAGTTTCTGGCCATAAGGACTTTGTCACTCAATAAGCTATTACATTAATCTATGGATTTTAAGTTAGGATAGGGGCAACCTTTAGAGGGTTGGACAATGACAGGAGGGACACCAGGGGGGCTTCTGAGGTCCTGGTAATGTTTGATTTCTTAATATAAGTACTGGTTACACAAGTATGTTCACTCTGAAAATTCACCAGGCTGGACATATAATTTGTGTGCTTTCTGGGTATATGTTAAACTTCAGTTAAAAAAAAGAAAAGAAAAAGAAAAAATTTAAGGACTAGGGGATCATTCTAGATTGAAGCATACTAAAGACAAAAATCAATGCAATCCCTATTTCTTGAATGGATTTGGATTTTTCTTAATTGGGAGAATATGAATGTGGACTGTATTATTAAGTAGTATTTTATCAATACTGAATTTCTTGTATGATAATGGTATTATGGTTATATAAGAGAATAACCTCACTCTTATGACACTCTTAAAGGAAAACCCTGAATGCTGGTGTTTATCTTAGCTGTCCTAGGATGAAATACCCTGATGTCCGTAACTCACTCTCAAATCTTTAAAAAAATACATGTAAAGAGACAGAAATAAAGCAAATTCAGCAAAATGTAAACAGTGTATCTTGAAGTTTTTATAAGAGTTTTACAAGAGTTCTCTGTATTAGTTTTTCAACATTTCTAGAGGTTGGAAATTTTTCAAAATAGAAAAAAGTTGAGGGGGGAAGTATCTCGTTTGAACTACTGTTATTCAAGAGTTCAGCAGACTTCCAAAACTGCCCACAGATTCTTGGAGAAGGAAACGAACACTCACTGAACACTAACTGTGCAGCAGATGCTCTTTACGTCCACAATTTCAGTCAACCCTCAGAACAACCCTTGGGTAATTATTATTTTAAAAAGGGAAAACAGGGTCAGAGAGGTGGAGTGACAAGTCCAATAGCAAGTGAGTGCTGGAGTTCAAAGTCTGTCAGGATACAAGGCCATACTCTTCTACTGCTTACTGTCTTCACTGTGTTCTTTTCCCTTCCCTGCTTCTGTGTTTTCTCAATCCCAAATGTACTATATCCAGGGAATCTCAACAGATTTAAAATCTATGTTCTGTGATATAGTCAATATTGAATAACCACTAAACAATCAGACTGAACCACACTTCTGCTCTTCATTGAAGATAACTGGTGGAGAAGTACAGAAATAGGAATAATAGCTCCCATTCCTATAAGCCATACCACGTACAGACTACAAGGGCCTCTCATAAGAGATCAACCATGCAAACTAGAGTAACATGGGGAAAACAGAACAAGGATAGGAAGCAATAAATGTGATTTCTAACTCCAACAGACCATCCCAAAGAAAGACTAAAAAGACCACCATAATGAATAAAGCAAGTATGTCACTGATATCTAAAAGTCACAAAGGACAGCTAAGATAAACAGCAGCATTCAGGGTTTTCCTTTAAATTGGAAGGAAATTACTCGAGAACAAATAAAAGAACAACTTTAGTGGGCTGGTAGTCAATATGTGAAAAATCATACCCCCAAAAAAAAACATTATAATAAGGCCTGAAGAAAGATTTCTCATTTGTGAGTGAAAATCCAGAATTTAATGAATGCAATAATAACAGATAACACATTATGTCAGGCACTGTTCTAAAATTAAGTTAATTTAGGGGCGCCTGGGTGGCTCAGATGGTTAAGCGTCTGCCTTCAGCTCAGGTCATGATCCCAGGGTCCTGGGACTGAGCCCCGTATCGGGCTGCCTGCTCAGTGGGGGGCCTGTTTCTCCCCCTGCCTCTGCTGCTCCCCCTGCTCATGTTCTCTCTCTCTCGCTGTATCTCTGTGTCTCGAATGAATAAATAAAAATAAATAAATAAGTAAATAAATAAAATTAATTCAGGAGTGCCTAGGTGGTTCAAATGGTTAAGTGTTCCACTCTTGGTTTCGGCTCAGATCATGATCTCAGGGTCATGGAATCAAGTCCCCATCAGGCTCCACACTCAGCAGGGAGTCTGCTTGAGACTCTTTCTCCCTCTCCCTCTGCCCCTCCCCTGCTTACGCACACGCATGCACTCTCTCTCTTTCAAATGAGTAAATCTTTAAAATAAATAAAGTAAAATAAGTTAATGTACTTATCCGCAGAGAAATCCTACGAGATAGGCACTAGTATTATTCCTATTGTGCAGATGGAGAAACTAAAGCCAAAGACGTCAAGTACCTTGTCCAAGATCACACAGCTCTAAGTAGTGGGGCTAGGATTCTAAGCCAATAGGGATGGCTTTGGAGCCCATACCACTGTTCTACATTGCCTCTCAAAGGAAGAAAGGGTTGGCTATCACCCTGTATCTTTCAAAATGAGAGACTGAGGCCACAAGGCCAACCAACAGACCTTCTATGAAACAAATACTGACTCAGCCCCAAAGGAAAAATGTGTTCATTCTTACAGACCAGGTTTGCGGGGAATTATCCAAATAGTTCTTTCAATTCCACTCTGCTTTGACTGGAGAAATGGGAAGCCAAGTAGATCAGGATTTGAAGATAAAATGACAAGCAACTGCTGAAGAGAGCTGGTTCACGTAATAAGTGTGCATTTGCAGCTTATTGTTAGACAGTGACAAAATTTGGCATGAAGAGCTCAAATTTTCCCAAAACTGCCAGCGTATTCTGACGCAATCCCAACTCTACCAGCTTTGGAAAGGAGGGCAAAAGAGAAGCAGAGCTGAAAACCAAACAAGTGCTGGCCAAACCCCCTCAAAGGACCTTAGATCCCTTCCACATGTACAGAGAGGACAATTTCCAGAACCAAAGGAATCCTTGGGCACTACAATGGCTCCAAGTGGCAAGCTTTTTAGTAACCTTCACAGCACTGACAAATTAACAGTCCTAGAAGAATCAGGGACGGAAGGCACCTTTAATCCCAGGCTGTGGGCATTCCTAACATGTAACAGTTCAGAAAAGTCCAGATTCTGAGGAGCCTCAGCATTTCCGCAAGCTAAGTGGGGTAAGGCAAGAAAGGAGGGCCTGTCCTCTGAGACACTTCCACAGTCCAGAATTTCTGACAGTGAGAAGGCCAGAATCAGTCCTAGTTATTTCCCCTATTTTACAATCCCGATATCTTTCTGAATCACTCACTCTGCTAACAGAAGCTGGTCTGGGGAACACACAGCTCCTCTAAGTGCTATTCCTGTAATAGACTTATCATGAAGAATAAAACAGTAGGAAACTTGGAAGTAGTGTTCTTCTGCCAAGGAAGGAAGTGAAACACCAGTAGGCTGTGAAGTCTACAGATGTTTCAAGGAGGTGAGAGGTGAATGATGGAAGTCCAGACTGGAACCATTTTCTTCTTCCTCTCTCTAATCCTAACTAAATTTAAGCATGTGTGGCTAACTAGCCACACACATCTGGGTTTAAATCCAGACCCAATCAGATACATGATTTAGGGCATGTTACAGACCTTTAGCACCCACTTCTGTGAAATGGCAGTTAATAGCCTGATTTTCATAAAGGAGATAGTTAACCTTAATTTGCCCCCAGCATGACAGCACACCCTCAGTAAATGCAAGGTACCGCTTACCCCAGCCCACCCCACCTTTGAATTTCAAATCCTTTCATAGGCCTTATCATCCACTGCTTCCTGACAGCAGACATACAGGCAAGACCACTGGTCCTCAAAGTCCCCTTAATGGAATGGGATTTGGCTGAAAAGCTAGAGCGGAGTCCTCTGGCCGAGAAAACCAAACTCTGGGAAGCAAGGACGGATCCTCAACCAAAAGCCTGGTGGCGTCTGTTGTTTACAAGTGAGACCCCTTCCTACCAACGCACTGAGAGGATCCGAGTACATTTCCGACCCTCCAATTTGGCAGGAAAGCGCAAAGGTGACGAAGAGGCTGGCAGTGGGGCCACTTCAGCGAGGCTGAGGCTGTGGGAGAGTGGGAACCCTGATGGATTCAGGGCCCTCCTGGGAGGGGACAACTGAGAACGTTCGAGCCTCTCACCCCTCTCTCCTCAAGCAGGGGCCCTTACAGCTCAAGGCTGAAGGCTTCTCAAGGGTCCTGCCACCGTCCCGGCCAAGCGCAAGTGGGGCCCGAGGGGCCCTCAGGCTGAAAGTGGGGGCCCGCGGGCGCCCCGCAGCCCCGGCTCGGCAATGGGGTCTAAGAGGGGTCACCGGGGGAGGGGCCGGGCGGCGAGGACCTGAGGAGGGGCGGGGCCCAGGAGGGGGCAAGAGGTCGGGGCCACCAGCTGCGGAGGCTCAGGGACCCCGCCCGGCTTCCAGCCGCACGCCGAGCGCCCCCTCCAGCCAGGGTCCCCGCCACTACGGCGGAGCAGTCCCACTCCCCTTACCTGGCTCGGCTGCTCTGCCTGCTCCGAGGACGCCATCTTTCTGAGGCCTAACTAATCTATCGCCGCTGGGCGAGGCGTCTCCCAAGCGCCCTCGCTCTCGCTCACCCGCCCAGACCAAGGTAGCCGGAACGGAGCCGGTCGATGGCGGGCACGCAGGGAGGAGAGCGAACACGCACGTCTGGGTCACCTCGCCTTATTGCCATTAGGTCTCCGCTGGCCAGGAAGATCCTAAGTCCGTCCTTTTTGCATTTTTAGATGTGTATTATTCTCATTGAGTTAAATCTCTGCCCATCCCCAAGGGGCCTTGGGCACAGGCAGGGACTCGCTAAGTCTTTAATAAATGAATGGGAAGAAACTTGGAAATTAATTAATTAATGGTTCAGTTCAGTACCATTTGTTGAGTACCTACTATTTGCCAGGCACTTTGGTAGTCGCTAGAAATAAAAAGATCCAAGACTCACCTCCTGCACACACAATTACAGCATCTTGGAGATAAGAGTCTGAAACGGTTTGCAGATCTATTAGGAGGACACTGAACGGGGCTTTATTGGAGAGGCTTCCACATTCTTACTTTACAGTAGTTGAGTTGTTAGATTTTAAGCTAAGTATAAAATTACACGAAATGATTGCATGTATTAGAACTACCGGTCAGTTTGTATTGCAGTTGGGTTTTGATTGATCATGGAGTATTCGAAAGGGTTGCCTCAAGTAACAATTCCCCCTACCAAACAGTTTTAAATGCCTACCCTTTTCTTATGAGATAATATCTTATTTTCTTATAAAAAGAAATACGAAAGAGACTGTATGAATATGGGCTATTTCTCGTTTACATAATATGCCCTCACCTTTTAAGCGAGGAACCATTTTGATTTTCTTCTTATTATTTTAATGTTAAATTTTTTCCGAAGGGGTAGGTAGCAGTATTAGAACAAAGATGAATTTATTGCCAAGCAGCATCTGGACAATCTCAAACAGTGATGTTGTTCGCATTTTCCCTTTCCCCTCTGATTTCTTTGAGACCTTAATGTTTAATCTAGTTATGTAAGCATTTTGTTCCGGGATCCCAACCCAATTTGCACAGTTAAAGCAGGGAATCGAACTGGTGGAAATGTGCGAGTATCTTATGCTTCTCTGTTACATTTTCAGCAGGACTGAAAACTACACTCATCAATTTTTAAAATTGACTTCCTTCAGATTATCCTGAGGTTTGGGACATCTTACAGATCTTTTCAGTTTGGAGAGGGAAAACAAATTAATACAGTACAATGACAGACTGTTTCATCTAAGTATTAATATTATGCATCTATATATGTAAACAAGAGTGCTCTAAAAACCCAAGGGAGTGTATATGCGTGTCTTTCATAATGCAAAATAAATCCCTATTGACCTCATTTTGATCCCGCTACTGAAACTCCTAAATACAAAGTAGAAAAACACCCCCCTGGGCCGTATTGAGCAACATAACGAAGTCGGCTTCGAACCCAGACACTACAGCTCCCGGCATGCCCCCGGAGCCATCCGTGATTAGCGGCAACCAGAACTACAACTCCCGGCGTGCCTTGGTCCCACGCGTGATTTGCCACAAAGAGAACTACATCTCCCGGCACGCCGTGGGTGGGGGGAGGGGGCCGCGCTGAGCCTCCCTGATTTCCCGGAGTCCCACCGTGAAGAGGATGGAGGTGGTCGGGGAGGCCGAGACTGAGACCGAGGCTCTGAAGCCGTGTCTGCTGCGCCGCAACCACAGCCGCGAGCAGCATGGCGTGGCGGCCTCCTGCCTCGAGCAGCTGAGGAGCAAGGGTGGGCACGGGACGCGGGCGGAGGCTGTGGGGGCCCGGGCCGGGGCTGCGGGGAGCCGGGCCGGGTGAGGATGTCTGGCAGGGGCGAGGTGGGGTCAGCAGGAGCGACTTGGGACGGAAATAACCGACGTGGGCATAGCGATTATCTCGTGTGAGGCTCCTAATGGTGGGAAGGTAGACGGGAATCAATACGCAAATTAAGACCGACTCGACTTAGGTGTCTCGCCTAAAATCACTGACCTTGGACCAGACCCAGCCGCCCGGGCTCCGTACGGTGATACCGGCGCCCCCGGCTGAGCCCCCGGCCGGGTGGGAGCGCCTTTTCACCGTCAGTTCTCCCAGGCACTTGTGCAGCGAAGAGGGAGCCGACCATTCTGGAGTTCCAGACAAGGAGCAGGTGCTGTGAGTGACCAGAGCTCAGAGTCGCGGCCCCACTTGCACTTAAGCAGCCCGCGACCCTCAGTTTTCTCATCGGCAAAATGGGTATAATATTTCCAGCCCTGCTTTACAGGATTGTTGGGACTCTCAAAGCAGATGATATATTTACATGACTTCCAAGTATTATGAGCCGGTAGCAATAAATTGTTTATCCACGGAAGTTCTACTGGTTAAAGTGTGAGCGGAGCGGTCCCGGGGTAGTCAAAGGGGGTGTCAGGGTTCAGTGCTTCCTCTCAGAGTCACCAAGACCCAAAAGATACCAGACAGAAATCTTTCAGAGACTCAGGAGCAGCCCAAACATTATAAATGCTTTAGTGAGATCGTTTTTGCCATATCAACATTCACATATTTTCCCTTGGCATTAGGGTACTTAAGTTTTAGTTCCCCTTGAGTGCGTCGGCTGGATGCACTTGGCACAGAAGCTTGTGTAAGTGTTTATGTTCTCTGGAGCTCAGCCTTTGGAAGGCTTGCTGTTCTATTTGGGTGCTGGATAACATTGCCCAACCATATACCTAGTCTTGTGGCTACTTTGCTGCTCACTCTCATCCCATTCGCATTTTAGGCTTTGTCATCACTAAATGGGACAGTACAGATCTGCCCTGGACAAGACTTTTGCCCTTTGACAATAAAGATGAGAAGGCTACCAATACAAACTTTTGCTTCTCTTGTGCCTTCCTATAGGTTAGAAAGGCTGCAGAGAACGATGCTTCAAAGAACACAAAGCATCTCCTTTTTTCTGTCCTATTCTTTTCTTGCTTTTCTTTCTTTCTTTCAACATTTGGCACAGGAGAATTTAAGATGACCACTGAGTAAATGAATGAAAGACTGCTTGTTCACAAGGAATCAAATCAGACTTTGGTTTGTTTTTCATCCAAGTAAAGATGCAAGGGCCTTCTAATGTGGAGGTAGAGCAGCTGGAGGAAAGTTTTTCAGGAGTCAGGGTTTAAATCTCAGCTCTGACACTTACTGTGTGACTTTGGACAAGTTACTTAACCTCCCTGAGCCTTGGGTTTGACATCTGTAAAATGGGAATAACAATTGTACAAACCTTATAGGATTTTTAGGGGAATAATGTATACAAAAGGTACTTAGTACCAGGCATGTGGGAAGTGGTATATTAGTGCTAGTAGTTGGAGTTGTTATCGTAGTTACTGTTAACTACCAGAAATTCTGCTATGCTCTGGGAGCATATATATAGTGGGTACAGGGACAGATGTAATTTCCTTATGGATATTTGTCAACTGCCAAATATTTTATTCCTCTCAGCCTGTGACATTCTGGCCATTGATAAGTCCCTGACACCAGTCACCCTGGTCCTAGCAGAGGATGGCACCATCGTGGATGATGACGATTACTTCCTGTGCCTACCTTCTAACACTAAGTTTGTAGTGTTGGCCAGTAATGAGAAGTGGACATACAGCAATTCAGGTAAGAAACTCTGGCCACATATAAAGTAATCTATGCGATACAGCATCCACCATGATTCATTTTACCACACAGGTCCTGGTCACCGTTTGTCTGCTTCAGCATCTATGTACCCAACATTTACTGAGCACCTTCTGCATGCCAAGGCGTGATGCTGAGTCTTCGGGTAAAGATGAATGAGACGCGGGTCCAGTTCTCAAATAACTCACAGACCAACAGTAACTAAAATGCAGCATGACAGAGAGATCAGTGCCACAGGCAGAGTCAAGCTGCCTGGTTTCACTCCAGACTATCATTTACTAGCCATGTGACCTTAGGCAAGTTACCTAACTTCTTAGCACCTTACTGAGGTAATAATTATAGTACCTTTCTCTCCTAGGATGTTGTAAGGCTGATAGGACATAATATATATCAAATCAGGGTTTCTTGACAATACTATTGACATTTCGTGCTGGAGAATTCTTTGTTGTGGGGGCTGTCCCATCCATTGCAGGATATTTAGCAGCAACCTCAGCCTTTGCCCACTAGATGCCAGTAGCACCTCTTTACCCCAGTTGTGACAACCAAAAATGCCTCCAGACATTGTCAAATGTCTTCTAAGGGGAGGCAAAATCACTCCCAGTTGAGAACCACTGATAAAAAGCATTTAGATCTTGCCTGACGCACAGAAAGGGCTCAGTAAATGTTACACCATCATCATTACTGGAGATACAAAGGGAACTAATATGGATGAGCAAGGACCAAAGGCTAAAAAATAAAAAAGTGTCCCCATTGAAGACAGTTCCCATGCCACTAAATTGAGGAATTCACCCTTCAGCAGTACCTCTACCAGCCACCTTTGTACTCCAAAGTACAGGGACAGCAAACAGTGGCAACAGCTCCTCCAGTCAAGGATAAGACGAATCCCCAAGCACAGGAGAAGTGCTGGTGACAATGAATGTTTTTGTATACAGAAATGGAACACAGAGACACAACAACTCACCTAAAGGGAAGTGTGGTAGGATCCTGGGTGTGCATGACCATGCATCAGGTTTAAAGTGGCTTCTTTCTTGGGCGCCTGGGTGGCTCAGTTGGTTAAGCGACTGCCTTCGGCTCAGGTCATGATCCTGGAGTCCCGGGATCGAGTCCCGCATCGGGCTCCCTGCTCAGCAGGGAGTCTGCTTCTCCCTCTGACCCTCCCCCCCTCATGCTCGCTCTATCTCGTTCTCTCTCTCAAATAAATAAAACCTTAAAAATTTTAAAAATTAAAAAAATAAAGTGGCTTTTGTCTGTAAGAAGGTTACAGAGCAGTTTCACACAGAAATAAATCGAGGGTGGAAGAGAAGGGAAAATGTAGGTCCTAGATGAGGATTGGCTTCCTCATGAATCCCTGAGGAAAGGCTCTTCCTTCACCACTGAAATTATCCTAAATGGCCAGTCCAAGGCCTGTGTGTTAGAGGAGGAGGTGAACACAGCACCTCAGGTTACCCTGTGACTGGCTGCTTCTCCTCATGTCA